CTTGTAGAGAATATAACTTTAAATCTAACCATTTTTTTTATTCTCACTATAAAAATCATAAAACTTTTTCCTTTTTTTTTAAACTCAAATATGTAAAAAAAAAGTTTCTATTTATTTTATTTTTTTTTTAAATACTAAATTCTATTATATTTATTCAAGCTGTCATGTAGCTACCGGAATTTATATTTACTTTTCTTTACAACAGGACATATAGAAGAGAAATTAATATGATGTCTATAAAAAGCATTAAAAAATTAAATAATTTACACCAAACAAGTGTGATATATCAAAATTCAACAAAAAGTCAGGGCGTTAAAAACTACACCAATAAGATTGCTTAGTAGGTATTAAAAAAAGGAGAAAGTGTAGGTTGAGAGGGGACCACCACAAACGGGTTTAATCGCGATTGGGATGAAAAGCAAGATAGATCTGTAGGGGCTGACGTTATACACACACGTGTAGTCCCCTATTCGAAAGCACGACGTATAAAAGCAGTCGTATAGTAAATGCTTATATACTTCTACTTCTCTAGCGTGTGAGAGAAAAATTCCAGTGACCACCCGGTCGTTTCTAGCACAAATAAATTCATTAACTACTGATCACAGATTGATCTTAATTGTTTTTGTTTTTATTCTTTTTTCCAATCCTTATTTTTTACGATACTGCAACAGAACATCGTAACAAAATTATTGGAGTTATAAAAAATTTCTTTCTTTGCGAATTGCTAGAAAACTCTCTTACTAGATTGATAATATATTTTTCATATCCCCTGACGATCGATAACCAACAGGGCACAAAAGTACATTGAACTTAAAATCTACAAGAAACTTTTTTTTTTGTTAAAGCAGTAAATTTAGTAAAATGTCATCAATAAACTATTGAGTTGATACAACATAGTATTGTTTAATTTATTGTCTTTTTATCAAGTATTTTGGAGTTCAAAATGATATTTGTCATGGCAAAATATGTTCAAATATCAACTGATGTATACAATTGTGCCCTACCTATAATCCCAAAAATTCACAACGATTTTCCACGACCCCAAGAATAACCAAATAACTACCATTTGGGTGGATTTAATCTCGTCATCATTCCTAAATTATAGGGTTGCTGTTTGGAAAGGATGATTTTTTTTCACCAGAATTTGTCCATCTGAATGCATAAATATTTCACATATGGTTTTATTTATTTTTTTTACTCCAAATTTTGTTGATTTTAAAAATGCCAGTAATAAGCTTTAAATTACAGACTAAAATATGTATATGTCAAAATTTTATTTCCAAATCTCGATTCTGTCTGTCTCATGTACCAACGGTTGTCAGCACGTATTTTCTTCCAGTTGTGAGACATTTATCTTCGTCTTTAGTAGCTCAACAGACATTCTTGCACAATTTGACGTCAATTAACGTGTTAGACACCATACATTCCACTTTATTGTTTCATTTTAACATCTTAGTCTTTTCATTCATCCAGATTAAAACTTTATAAGAAACAATAGCAATTTAATTTTCAAGCAATAAAGCTATGGCTTTACACATTTTTTCTCTGGACGATACAAACATTCATCATCTAAATATACTGCTTAGCGCATTTATACTCTGGTTCCTCGTAATTCAGAAGCAATTAACACATGTAACAGTAGCGAATAACATGTTCATCGTCGTCAAGTATGCGTTTAAAGTACTCTTTACACCTCACTTGTTACCCATCGCACGTTCTAAACCCACCTGCGGAAGTGCTGATGAGAATTATACATGTAGAATTTCATTCAGTTTCTAGATATATGTTGTCATATAAAAAACATGACATAAAAAGAAATGATGTATAAAAGTCATCCTCTTACGTCTTTCATAAACTCCAAGGAATGTAACTCTATACAGTTGCTGATGAAGGGCTACATAAAATTTCTACACATTTGTCGTATTTAGCATCTACCGGATAATCATTTTATTTTTAGAATTCTTGTGAGGAGACGTGGATTTTTATATTGTTAAAATTACGACAGTTTGTTGGGAACAAATAATTAAAGTTTTCTCGATCCAATGTCTTGGAATAAAAAGTTGGTGGCTACTTCAACTTGGAAACAGCCAAGTCAAAACAACTAAACGATTTGGCTGCAAAAAAAGGGAAAAGTATTGAAGAAAAAGAGTGTAATTATGATATATAGAGAAAGAAAAAGGCACGAATATCAACAATCGAGGTTTGAACGAGAGTAACAGGATAGAAATTACGACCACCCGACTCGTGCAAATTGCCCTATAGACCGAACCAATCTCCCTGTTCCTATCCTGATGGTTGCATCCCCTTCTGCATGTCACGCGTCTGATCGTTAGTGACTGTAATTCAGATTCCGCTAATTGGAATTATCCGAGTTAGGAGATATTATTAATTCACGGATTGATTGGCGTAGCTCCCCAATAACGATCTCTCGTGCTCTGGTAGACAACGGACGATTTGAACCCGAGGACAATGGTGGGATAACGCCGGAGGGACGTTCTCGAGTTATTCTCTTGTTTCTTTTTTTTTTTATTTCTTGGACACAATGTCTTCCAGTAAACTCAACTAAATTCCAGACATTTTACGGAATCTTTATATAGACAGGTTCTGCCATAAACAGTAAGAAGTATAAAAAAAAAAAAAATTAAGTGAGTGAACGATCGTTGAAAATTTCAAAGAAATGAAAAATATTCTCAGATAATATTTTATTCAAGTATTTAGTTGATAATTAATTAAAAATCAGATGACTCATTACTTTTTTTCCAAGCATAAAGTGATAATTTATTTACGTAAGAAAAGCATTAGCATTTATGTAATAATTATACGAATGATAAAAAAAAGCATAGTAAGTGATTACAAAAAGTTTTAGGAAGATGAAAAATTTTTCATTTATGCCAGCATGATAGTGTAAGTAAAACAATCTCCGTTACTTTTCTAGTACACCCAGTGTACGCTTCATTGCATCTTAAAGGAGATATATAAGTGAAAAGAGGAAGAAATTCTGTCAGGCTTTTGAAATAGCTGTGCCCAAGAGGCTAATGTACGAAGCAGATCCTTGGACCGCGCGATATCCTTCCTCACCATCTCCGGTTTCGCCGACAACGACAACGACGACGACGCGACGGCATTCCGACGACAATCTTTTCTCACTTTGCGGAGACGCTATTTTTCAACTTATGGAAATTGCGTTCTCGCTACACGCGAAACTTTGCTACTACTTGCCGTCTTCAAGTCTTGACGAGCTTACGTGAATTCTTTTTTTTTTTTTCACTTTTCTTCTTTTCTCGTCTACCCACGGTCATTTTTATATCTTTTTTTATTCTTTATCTTCGTTATTCCTCTGGAAAGATATTTTTATTTGTAACAGGGTATAAGATTATTTGATGTCTTTTTATTGTGATTTATTGTGACCCACAATTTTTGTTTCTTTTTTTTTTTCAATTCACACAATTGTTCTCCAAAATAATATTAAAAGTCGTAAATGAAATTTATGGAGTGTTTCTGTTGAAGTAATCTTTTTTTTTCTACTTTCTATTTAATTAATTTTATTTTTGTCCAAGAAAATAGTATACAACTATGAATTAATGTAGAAGTTAATAACCGCTAAACATTTAACATTATGAACATATTGATTTTTTTGTCATTTTTTATTCAAAATCCTTTACCAAAGGAAATGACTTGTCATATCAATTATGTTTATAATTACATCGCAAATTCGTAATGTATGAAATGATAATCAATACACAAACTGTCAATCATGAATTTTATCATGCTTAGAACATAAAATGATTACCGGAAATTAAAGCAATGATGATTCCTGGAGATGATAGTTGATCTACGAGTATTTACGAGCCATACAAACGATTTCAAAGATATCAAAACAACTGGCTTTACCGGTTTCTTCAACACGCTCGCGTTTCTTCCATTCTTACATGCACCTTTCTTTGTCGTACTCTCGTAACAAAACATTATGTTCGCGCGTAACGATATCAGAACACGTGAGAGACGACTTCCGATCACGCCGTCTACTAAGAAATCACGAAGAAAAAATTCACTTCTTATACATGAAAATCTTTATTATTTTTCATTTTTAGTTCTATATACGAGTTTATTAATTACTGTCTTTATCCTATTTTTTTATCTAAACTTTTCTCTCTTACAAATATTATTCATCCAACAAACATAAATTTCCACTATTTTAAAAGCCTGAAAGATTTAGGTCTATAATAAATTATTTAAATAATGGAGTCAACAAAAATAGTTGTTTTATTGACTGAGGGAAATATGTGTATACATTTTGGAGTCAAAAAGAATATTTTTTTAGATTTCTCGAAATAACTGATATGTTTATTTTCATCACTATTCAGCGTAAAACAAATATAAACAAACAAATAATAAAATAGAGATGTAATTATAACATATATTTTTTGTTTATAATGAAATAAATTACTTTTTATAAAATTAAACAGAAAAAAAATGATTATGTTAAAATGTTATCGTTTAATACACTCAATAGTAATTTACTTTAATGGAAAAATTTCCACGAATTGCACACAATTTATTTCGTGACCAGATGTTTGTGTATACATAAATGTCAACTTCATTATTGGTAAAAGCATTGATGCATTCAAGTTTTCAGCTCACTGACTCCAGAAAGAATATTGGCTTTGATTTATTTCAAGACAGTTAGAAGGGCCAAGACAATCACACATTTATACAACCTATATCGTATGTATGGAAAAAACATCAAGAATATTGCGGAGATTCAAGAATAAGATATTGTATTATTATGGTATCCTGGAAGAGTGACTAAATCTTTTATCCAAATGATATTACGCATCCTAAGTGAAAGACATTTTCAAACATCGTGTGTGTCACGTATGTATTGACGAAAAAAACCGGCCTAAGAATTTCTTCGTAACTGATGTCACACGCATAGAGTTGGAGTGATACTGACATTTACTTTGCCCTTTTTATCCCTGTTAGTATCGACAAAAACTTACCACTTTCTTGATGAGACGCTTTCAAGTTGCCGCGTGTGTTAATGATCCCAGAGTTAACGAAACCTTCAGTACGTTATCGTTTTGGAGTAAATCTTTGTCGATTTTTCCTTACAATGATAATTATTTTCACTATTGTAAATAATGAATTCACTAAAAAGTATACACACAACACACTATCACTAATACTATTTTCACGTTTTAATTGGCTTGATGTTAAATTATTTAAACATTTCTTGACAGATTAAAAAAATCCCCTCAGATCTGTTTGAAACATTTGCTTAAATCACACGCGTTCTATCACTTTGATGTAGAACAGTACAATAAAAAGAAACTTTAAACAAAATGTGTTCGCAGCCAAATGAATTCCCAGGATGAGAAAACAAGAGCGTCGTTTATCGACTGTCGCGAGAGAGCAAAATGCAGTGAATGCCGCAACACCCCTCGTGGAAACTAGGACAGGAAATTTCAGAGTGGTCCACAGAGAATTCAATATTCCACGTAATTTTACTTGATATTTAATGTAACTACCGAAATTATTTATTGTATTGTACAGTAGTTGTTATTAAATGTCAATAACACGAGCGAAAAAATTTCGCAATTGAAGTAAATAAACTTTGTCGCGAAAAACAAATATCACGAGCGTTCGTCATACAATCCAACAACACTCTACGGCACTCGCCTGAAAACTGAACAACCCGACACGACCTGAGGCCGGGACTCGACTAGTTTCCACCGAGGTTCCCCCACCAGGCATCACTCGGTCGTCGCCCCCTCTCTCTCTTACTCCATGGCTCACTCACCACATAGTCGTACTACTATACGTTCGACTAAGACCCTTCCTCGTCCCTTCCATCACCCAGTGCCACTCTGCTCGTCCTCTTCCGCTTTCTCTAGCACACCCTACACGCTTCAGCTGTCTAGCTACCCTGCACGCGTCATTCCTGCTCTCATCCAAGGAACATTCTTTTCTCTCTCATGTACTAACCCTTCTCCCCCTCGAGAAATCAACCCCTTTCGTAGCGGCACGTAAACCCAGGGAGATGGAAACCCCTCCCGAATTGAGCCTCTCTTGTGTCCCTGGGTGAGAAATTGTGGCTTCCGCCGATCTGTGAAAAGGCTAAATGGGATGTGAATTTAATGAAATTGGGACGATCCGTTCTTCCTAGCTTGAGCGCGTGCTTTCTCCAGATTTTTGCTACGGAATGTATTGCTTCGTCGTTGCAAATTTAATAATGGAATCCGTCTATTCATTTTTCAGTCTTTTTACTTTTTATCTACCGTACACAATGACTTTTTTGCAACTCAATTAACTAAACTAAACTCACTTTTTTTTCTTTATCTTTTTTTTTTCTTCTCTCTAACTTTCTTTAGCAAAAAAAGAGATCATTTGCAAATAGTATTCGAACTTGAAATACTGGTTTCGTCCACTTGGTCTCGTTTGACACAAAAGTAGATCAGTCAAATCTATGACCTAGTTATAGACATAGATATAAATTATACATGTATAATTAAACTTGAATTATTGTCATTATCAAATAGAATAATTTCGTACTCGTAATCTAATGTCAACAATTTTATTCAGATTTAAAGAATAGAATAATTCCAATTAAATCATATTTAGTTGAAAACTTGGATAAATTTCTTATGAGAATCAAGGAAGAAAGCAGTTGAAAATTGCAGAGAAAAGAAAATATTATTTTAGCTCAAGTATTTTCTTTTTACGATTAAATATTTATTTTTCTTTGTTCATCACCTTTATCTTTCTGTAGGACAAGTGGATTTAAAAATTCCCAAAACAAAATCTAAGAAACTGATGTTGACATAATATCACTCCCCAAAGGCCGATTTTCAAAGATCACAGGATCTATCACGATTCACACCCTCCCGCAGCGCCGTGGTTCCCTTTACGGCCTAAAATCATGCCATTGTGGGAGCACATACGTAGTAGGGTGATTCGAGACACTGAGTTTTTCTTTTCTGCTCCCTCGATTATATTTATTTGATGGGAGCGGCGCGACAGAAAAAATACCTTCACTACTTCTTAGCTGTCAGACCATTTCGAGTTTTTTTTCCAAGTCACACTACAGCTTGGTTCCATATATGATATGCATGGCTCCGCCAGTCCCTATTCTCCTGTTCTATCTGGCACACGTGTTTACCACGTGATTGTAATTGAGTTTCAATGTACCCTACGCATAAGTATGGTAAGAGAGGACATTTTTGCTTTAATAAAAATCTCAAATACTCTATATATGCAATATAATACATGAGTTGAAAGAAAATGGTTACTTGATTTATTGCTACCATTGATGCGAATATAGATTCAACAGAAGTTTAAATATATTACTAAATTATACCAAAGGGAGTTTGCGACGACAGCAAAACGTGTGACTTATTGTTAATACATTAAGAAAAATGATAAGAATATAAAGGGTATATATGGAAAGCTAAAAAAAAAGCTCACTTGATTTATGAAGATAAAATAGACCATCAACAGATTTTGTATCAATTGAAAAATCCTCGAGACAAGGTAAAAGGATCAACTTTTTATTCATAAAAAAAAGTTCAACTCAAAATAAATGAGACAATTTATTAAATATGTAATTACCAAAAACTATTTCTTATTTTTTCATGAGAATAAATTTAGAATGAAGGAATTATTCAAATTATTTCATTTAATTAATTTTCTCATTTGATGAAGTGTAATTTTTGATGAAACAATCTATTCATTACATCAAGTTGAAATACTGAATAAACAGTTGTTGGTAATGCACCAAGTGAACTTGACGTCGTTGTTAATTAGGAGTAATATCATGTGCAAAAATAGTATGATAATGAATCAAAAAGAAAATTAAAGCCGAATGAGCGTAAGCTTTCAAGTAGTGTTGGTTAACATTCATTAAAAGTAATTAAATGCTGATTGATTATTGATTATCTTTAGTGTAATGAACTGTTTCATTGAGTGAATACTGGAATAAAAGCTGACTGAAAGCACATAGATATACTGTTGGGTGTGATAACAGCCGGACGCGCACAAAATACATTGATCGTCAAGATTGCAATTTCATCGATTGCTAAGACCAGAGACAGAGCACGTGTCTCAAGGCGAGAAGTGTTTCCCAACGCGGAGAAACCCTCCATCTCAATCAATCAGACGGCGCGTCTCGTGGCAATAAACGATGCCGCCCCAAGAATCTAATCGAGGTCTTCCGTGGAAACGTGATGCGCCGCTGGCGGGAGTTAGTAAACGTCAGCCCTGGTTGCATCGTATGGGTGGTATCAAAGTAGAAACTAAAGTAAGACGAGAAAACGTTAGCAGGTCGAGAGTTTACTACAGCCACAGAATATGCATTACGACCGAGTTCAGAAACTCAATTTGGTTACATTTATATAACTATTTCAACTACTAATATATTCCTCTACCTTTTTATCAATTAACGCTACTAGTAATCACTTTATGACATGTCATTATCAACATGTCATTTCATTCGAAACTTCATCAAGAAATTCCATCTCATTATTAATTATAATCACAAATAGGTAAATATTTATCAAATATTTTCCAGTTGAAATTGTTTTGAACAATAAATAAAACAAAAACTGTGTCACTCGTTGATTGAAAAGTGTGAATCATTGCAATAAATAATAAATACAATAAGAAAACAAGTACAATAAGTTAAATAAAGTTTCTCAGAACTGGTAGGTAATATGTCATATAAGTATAAGTGAAAAATGAGAAAAAAAAGTGGCGAAGGTTGTATACCTTCTTATCCAATAACACAGTATAAAGTATATACGAATAATACCACATTCAAAATGCCATGCAACAACATAACTTCATGTTTAAATGCATTATAGCATACAATAACTTGATAAACTTTTTGACTAACAGGCTAGAATTCATATTAGAATGGTTTTTGTTTGAAATATAATATAATAATGACTGCTTTAAAATAATTTAGTTCCAACTGTATCAGAGATAAATCTAGATTATTGTTGAATAAAGTAGTACAACTCTATATGTGTATGCCTGCAGGCTCCATAGCTTTCTCTTTACGCAAAATTATGAGCCTGGACCTCTAATAGAGTGGCAAGATAAAAAATCTTTTGGGACCTTGAACCTGTCCTCGTAATAGTTTCGTGAGAGTCTTTAGGTTTAGTGGCTTCAAAATTCCTACTCCCTGATTGTTCTCGCCATCAAGATATGACAGCTTCATTGTGAACATCTTGGTTTTTTTTGTCTAGCTAACTTTCACTTTTATGGTGTGGTCCAGCATGCTACCATGAACTAACGTCTTTACCAGTAAGTAGCGGAAATGGGGATGAGATACTGCTACTTTTATGGAAAATGGTGTATTTGTATGCTTAACAGATAATTCCAACAGGAATGTATGTACTATCTGAATAAAACTCAAATATATTCCATGTGTGGTTTTACTTTTGTGTAAATGTCCCAATCATAAATTTAGAATACATTTTTGTTAAAAGTTCACAAAAAAAACTTAACTAATGAATTTTTTCCCTTAATCTACCAGCTCTATCTTTTTCTTTTTTTTAAATTAAAAAAATAGTCTGTAGTTTCATAGCTTGTCTTTTAAAAATTATTCTAAAGATAATAATCATCAAAGTTATTATGAGTGTCACGTAAATTTTTTTATACTCTAAATCTAAAATTCATTTTTCGTAGGGCTTTCAAGTACATTAGATTTTTTGGAAGAATTCCATCTACGAGACTTATTCTCGAGATATGCAAGTGTAAGAGGGGCAGAAATGTAAGTAATGCAAATGTTGGTGGATAGTCAGATCTCATAGAACGTTGGTGTGTAAAGCCAGAGAGTCACAAAGAGTAAGAAGGATTATGACGAGGATGTTCAACTGAAAGTGTATAGTATAAGATAGGAGTAGTATTTTGTTCTTATACAAGATAAGAAAGCTTAATTATACTACATTGGGTGTCATAAACTTGGATGAAATGAATACCTTAATCTTACTTCCATGAATCTCATCTTCCTGTGCTTTTACAATATTTTCCTCTCTTTTTTAATGGATGTAGAAACATATTTCTTGTTTGCCATACATTCATTTCGATTTTTGTTGTAATTTTTATTCCACAGTAATACAACTCTTACCATGTAATATAAAAATTCATGATATGCAAAAATCAGATGCAAGAGAAAAAATGTTCTAATTTCAAACTTAATTGGTATTGTATTAACATAAAAAAAATGTACGCATTGTTTTTAAATCTTTTAATTAATGATGAAATTCAGCAATTTTATGTCATTGTATTTATAACGACATTATTTGTAAATAATATACGCTTGCTCTCTAATTAATTTTAATCATAAATTTTGCTGTTGACAATACGGAATTTTTTTCATTTATCAAAATTTAAATTAAAGTATCTTATTGTTTACTGGATATACACGAGTATATTAATAAATTTTAATAAACATGTAATGAAAGAGTTTAAACAATGGTCATAGTTAAATGTCATCATGTACATAAAGAGTGGTGTAAATTGAGAATAATATTGCAAAAACACGTACAGTTATGAAAGGGGGATTTACCAGGGTGTTAGCAGTGGGCTATCTTTTATTTCTATTCTTTTTATTCTCAGCAAGGGCACAACAGGAGTGCTCTTTCGGCACTTTTTCGTGCCCCCGGGTGTTAGGATAGGGAGCAACCATTAACCATAAGCGATACCCTAGAAAAACCTAAATGCTTTTGTGGGTCATGAAGTTTTTAAACGTTTAACGTGGAGTTTAAGCTACTGAAAAAGAGTAGAAAGATCGTTTGAGT